GGATATGTGGGGAAGATAATTGTTAACCCTAGACTTGAACAGGTTAAAAGTGTAGGGGTCAGGGAAGCAATTTTTGGGAGTCAGTTTCACAAGGTAGTGGTTTGTGGGAATAAGGTGCTTAAGTGGAACTTACATCTCACCAGAGAAATACAAGGGGGAATGAGGGTAGTTTGCTACAATGTGCATAGCATGACGGGTCTTAGCCGTGAAGGTTAGGACTGGTGGAACTAAGGACTGTAGTTCATTTGAATGCTCTCCATGGAAATAGTGATAGACCATGCTAAGTATATGAAATAGATGTTAATTCTTCTGTGGTTTTGATATTTGTTCTAGCATACCTATGGACGATAATGGGTATGTCCCTATTCACATAAATACAGTAGTAAATACTGTATGTTGGTCTACAGTTGGAGATTCATTGTGGAATTCACTTGACTCATTTCTAGCAGTTGACTACTTCTTCTGTGTGCAGCTGGTGAATCTTATATGTGCTGTTCTTGTCCTAAGTATTATCATTCATTACCAACCTTTGTGTGATTATTCTATTCAGTAACCTTCTCTAGGTTACAACAATATTACAGTTAGTTGTATGTTTAAGAAGACATAACAATTACATAAAAAAGGGCTTAGTTCAGAATTCCTTAAAGGTTACACAGATTGACTGACACTTAAAGAAGGCCAGATAGCACAATATTTGGATGTAATGATAAATATAACAAAGATAATGACATTAATCTGAATGTAAATAAGCTTTTTTCACTTGAAAAATTGGTGCAACACAATCTTCCTACCTCTATTTTCCCTAGGTCTCATCATTTTGCTGTTGAAATTGCAAAATGTAACTGTAAATTCTATTCTAATAATTTCTTCTCTTGCACATTGTGCCTCTAGACCTCTATTGGCTTCTTGCTTTCCTGACAACCATGATCTTCAAAAATTTAAATGCAATGTAAATCATCATCTTCTATCTTTCTGAATACTATTCACTTATTGTCCTTTCTACTCAATAATGTTTTCTCAGTTTCTTTCACTCTCAGTAACCCCTTGTGTCTTAGCGGCCTTATTACCTTACTTGGGGTGAAATAAGTAAAAAAAATCTTTTAAATTGCTATCAATGTAAAATTCCGTTTTTGACAAATGTTGCACAAAGTATGGAGTTATTTGAGAACATGTCACTAAATTACTACAGCTGTAAATCTGCAGACGGCAAAAAAATTTTTTTCTTTCAATTTTATGGCTGCAAATCTGGAATTAATTTGTTTGCCCCTCAGAGTGGATATCCTAATAAATAAATCACCCACTCAAATAATTTGTAATATTCTAAACCAAATGCAGAAACATTACAGAACAAATGCCAATAAAATTTAAAAAAAAATGCATCCTGAATCTATAACATAATATATTGCATACATATACCACATTATTTTATTATATTTATTGTTTATACGTTATTTTCATAGATACATTTATTTAAGTAAATGTCCTGTTTATAATAACCAGTATTAACAACATTTACTGGCCTGAATCATGGGAAATTTGTAGTTTAAAAGTAGTAATTTGATCATGCTAACCAGACACTTCCTCTGTAGCTAAATCGTATAGCATGTCAGGCTATATGATGATTCCATGTAAGATACAGTTTTGATTCCTGTTGGAGGACACATTTTCTATGAAATTTATTGACATTTAGGCCAGTAATGTTGTTAATACTGTTAATTATGAACAGAGCATTTACTTAAAATATTTTTATCTATAAAAATAATGTATAAATAATAAATATATTAAAATACTTGTCAGACTTAGCCCATTTCATAATATATACCACCGTATATAAATTACTAGTTAAATACTATATATGAAATTATACAAGCAAGAAACATTGTAAAGAAAAAAGGAATTAATGAATAAAGATTTCTGAATTGATAATATTGGCCTTCATTCAAATTCAGCCTTTTTAGAATTCAGCTTCAATTCATTTCATCACTGAATGTAATCTTATGCCAAACATTCGTTTCCTACAGTTCATACGACTTTGACCAACTTAATGTTGTCTTCAAATGTTTTTGAAATGGCTTTCTTCAATGAACTGAACCTCTTCATTTTTTTTATTTTAAATTTATTAATATTATAGTTATCAGTGAAGCAAGTAAGAGGAAGGAAGTTCCACCATTGGGAAGTGCAAGAGAAGAAGGTGTTGGAGTAGAAGAGGCAGTTACATTTAACAGTAAAAATGTGTGACCGAGATGCTAACCTAGTAGTACACTTAAATTCATGCAGTTTGAGCACCAGTGAAAATAGCTTGTCAGAGCAGTTGCTGTGAAAATATTTATAGAAAAGACAGAGGGAAGCCACATCATGTCTGTGAGAAAGTGACTGGAGTCAGGACCTATCACATTGCATATCTGTCTTTGAATTTTGTTGAGAAACTCAAGATGAACAGCGGGGACACCAGACCATATATGGCAACAGTATTCAATGCAAGGGTAAATGGTAGATTTGTAGATTTGAAGGATAGACTCAGATGAGAAAAAATTTCTGGTGCGACACTTTCCTTGCAGTATTTGTAGCTATTGGTTTAATGTAGTTGTTCCACCTCAGGTCAGTGGAAAATGTTAGACCAAGAAGGTGCAAAGAGACGTTCTTGTGAAGTTGAGCATCAGCCATGCTGATAGGAGGCAGGGAGGTTTCTCTATGGTGTGTAAATGAGAGCAATTTCATTTTGGAGGTATTAAAATTTACAAGCCATTTCCTGCCCCAGTTAACCACAGAGTAAAGGTCTCTTTTTGAGACCAATGGCCAGGCTGTCTATGTTCTTGTTATCTACTGACACCAAATTAAACAAGTCACACTCATTCATTACTTGTCTATTAGTTTTCTTTTGCTGAACTTTTTGCTCTCCTAATCAATCTCCATATTATCCTATGCTACAGCTTTGAAAGGTGACTGTAATTTGGTTGATTTCAAACACTTCCAGTGCTTTAAAACTTCAAAAGGATTTTTGAAATGCCAATTCTTGACATTTAAAGTTTCTTAGTGTTTCATATTCTTGAACATCTTCACTATCTTCATCCTGGTTTCTTTGGAAATGTTCATTATGTCTTTCAACTAGATCATCTAAATTATAAATATCAAAAAAATTTTTTATTAAATTCTATAAAAGTTAATAAGGGGGCCCAGTTTGCTATGTGAATTTGTTGTAAATTGATACCCACTACAGAAGCCAAAACAAATTTCATCATACAATGAGATTTTTTAAAATGTAAAAAAATTTGGAAATTCATAATCTGGAGGGTTTAATCGATACTAATAAATAAAAAAAGAGCATGCACATTTTTTTGTTTCTTTTATTTGGGAAAGATATATCCAAATGGATGCAAATCTGACATGTTAAGAAAATTAAATGTAAGAATTTCATAACAGTTAAGGATTAAAAAGAAAACTGTCTTTGAAACTTATTTAAAAATTTTAGTAAACTTTATACTGAATATTAACTGAGACTTCTAAGTAAGATACAAAGTACTAAAAAAGAATCAACCATAGTTGGGATCATTGAGTCAATGTGAATGATCCTTTCTTTTTCTGCATAGTATGTGCTTCACCAGGGGTAGATACAGTTTTGAATTCAGAGTTTGCCTTCTCCTAGACTGTTTGTTACCTAATGCTATAGAACCTATTCTGTCCTGCTATCTACCCATAGCTGGAGGGTGGAGAAGAGATGGATTTATACCTTTCCCAAGGGTATTATCACATAAGAGAATGTAATGAACTCGACTGTAATTTGAACTCGGCACTCTGAGTTTTCAATTTGAGCCGCAAATCCATTACTCCACCTTGCCTTCGAAAAAGTATTAAGAAATAGGAAAATTTTGCTAGAAATAAAGAAAAGAGTGTCAAATTGTTATGTAATCCTCCTATATGGTAGTGAATGCTGGACAATTTGTTCATAGATGAAAGGCAGATGAGGCAACAGAGATGTAGTTCTACAGAAGGATGCTGAGAATACAAAGGATAGAATATGTGAGCAATGAGGAAGTTTTAAGGAATATATGTACCTACAAATACAATGTTTATAGTAATAAGAAATAATGTTGGATTAGAATAATCCATTAATTGCTTAAATGGCATATGATCTTTTGAAAAATTAATTTGATATATTGTCAGTATGAGAAACAGCTGACACTAACAAATGCAGAAGGGGAAACTAAAAGAAAATAAATGCCAAAAGGAGGAAATCAAAATGCTTAAAGGTTTCAAAATTAATGTCTACCACCCTAGAGATTGAAAGTCTTATGAAAGAAAATATGTCTCCTGACAGGAATTGTACCTGTATTCTGTTTTAAATCTGAGAAATCACTTTCAAAACAAGCATCCTTTATCATTAAACTAAGATAACTTACCACAACAAAGTTCAACTATTCTATTTTAAAAAGGCATGTATACCATTGGGGCTTTTTGAAGTTTATATATGCTACCTTTATTTTGGGACCTCACTTAAAAAAGTAGGGATGTCTACTGAAAACCTGCAAATACAATGTTTATAGTAATTTGATAATAATGAATGTATACCATCCTACCAATTTTAATAGTAACCATTCTGTATGAAAGACTTTTTAACTACTAATGATCAGTTTAGCAGAATAAAACTTCTAAATCTGATATTTGGTGTTGTCTATTCATTAAAAATAATAAGAAATAATATTGGATTAGAAAAATCCATTAATTACTTAAAAATAGCTAATGGTGTATGATCTTTTAAAAAATGATTTGATATATTGCCAGTATGAGAAACAGCTGACACTAACAAATATGAATGGGGAAATGAAGAGAAAAAAGCTAAAAGAAGGAAATCAAAATGCTTAGAGGTTTGAAAATGTATGTTTGGATAAATTAAGTTATAAAATACTTCAAAGTTGTGACTGAATAATAAATACATCCTGTTTATATCAACCCAGCAAATATTAGACATGTGGCAGCCATTAAAGATTTGGTTTCTGACTTACTTTTAAAGAGGCAGAGGCCAGTCTTGCTTTCCAAAATTTAGCTGGAATCTCTTCTGAACTGGCATGAAAAGAAAATAAGAAAGAAGTCTTGAAAAGAAAACTTTTATATTAAAATAAATCATAAAAAAATCAATATATTTAGAAAATTTAAGAAATATCTTCATTTCTTGTATAAAATATATCTGGTTAGTTTAGATTAATCATTTTAATTAAAGAAAGTACTTGAATGTATTTTAAATATATTCAATATTATGGATAGAAATATGTACAGTGTTTTTTCAAGACTTAGCATGAGCAAAACAAATTCATGGATTTGGATGAAAGAAAAAGACCTCACAAAAATCCGTGAAAATTTTTCATCCTTTAATAGTCAATTTTACTTTAATTTGTAATGTATATAAATGTAAGGAGAAAAATCAAATGTTGATAAGAGAGTGAGGATCACAAATCACTGCCCGGGGCTCCCAGTCAGACTCTCTACCCAGCTCAAGGGTTTTCAGGGGTAGTATGTGTCGAGCCTGTGTGGGTCATAAAAGGAAGATGATTTAATATCATATGTATCATTTGCCTAATTTTAATATTAGCATTTCTCTTTCAGATTTAACAAGAGCATTAACATGGCTGTTTCCAATGTGACACAAAAATGAAAAGATGCACTGTGCTTGTGATATCAGCTGCCAACCACAGTGACTCAGATACAGCCAGCTTCTTGAATATGTCTAGTTTCTTGGTGTTCAATGTCAGGAATGATCTGGAAGCATCTGGTTGGGATGTGTCATCTATGGCCAAGAGAAAGAAGTGCTTAAATATTGGTGGTAAGCAACTTTGGGTGCCTGCATCAATGGGCGTGTGACTGGGGGTTGGGGCTCAAGCCTGATTAGGGGCTCTAGGCAGTGCTTTGTGACCCTTACCATCTTATCAACATTTGCTTTTTTCTATCTAACTTTATATATATTACAAATTAAATTAAACACAACTATTAAAGGATGATAGTTTTGACATCATTCTGGGTCTTTTTTTGTCCAAATCTGTGAATTTGTTTTATTCGTGCTAAGTCTCAAAAAACACAATATAAAATCCACCATTTTTTATCCATAATGTTGAACGTGTTAAAAATTATTAAACTTTTAACAAGAAAATTGTCAAGTTGATGTTAAAACTTGCTGCAAAACATCGTTGATTTATTTAAGATGGAATGATCTATTTATGACATGTTGACATGTCTCTAATTTGTATTTAGATACATTGTATTTATTTTCAATTTTTCTAGTTGTATTGCATATGATCCATTATTGTATATAATTAGGCTATAATAAAATTTGTATTTTATATAATACTACCTTATATAGTAGAGTGGGAGGAAGGCATATCATAGACTTGATGTGTGTGGGATATTATAGATTGGTCAGGAGGGAGGACATACAAAACCACTGCACCAGCTCTGGGTGTGAGATAGAATGTGGCAGAATGGCATGTGTTCTTGCATAATGAGTCATCAACAAGCTGCCAGTATATTTTGAGAGGATATAGGGACACTTTGTCCCCACTGGTTTGCAAAATCATTGTCACTAGCTCAATGCCATAATCCCCCATTGCATTTATGAATAAAAATGCTATGTTATTGTATTTATTTTTCTTGACTCAGTTCTTTTTGCCAATCAGGATAATATCTGGGAATTGTTTATATTCACAGGCTGACCTGCGGATTGCAGTCAACAAGAAGGTTCCACATTTTGACAACATCTTACTTATTATAAAACGCAGATTGTGTGTGTGTGTGTGTGTGTCTGTACGTTTATATATTGGATCGGATTTCCTACATTTTTCAACCGATTTCAACAAAACTTCACAGGACTGCATAAAATTACCTTGCTGTGGTTCTGACAGTGCCAAAAATTGGAAAAACACAATTGTTTTTGCACAAAATCAATTTGAAAACATGATAAAACTAGATTCTGTCACCAGAATGAAAGGGGGACAACTCATATCGAGTTATACTTATTATAAAACCCAGGTTGTTTGTGTGTGTGCGTGTTCATTTATATATGGGATTAGATTTCCTACATTTTTCAACCGATTTCAACAAAACTTCACTTTTTTTTGGCAGGTAGTGTTTCTTATTGTCTTGCACATTTTTTCTTTATTTTTACATTCAGAATGCTTTAAAAATTCCATTTACAAGACAATTGTTTATAATAAAATTCTATTCAATCGCTAGACTCATAATGATTGAAAACAATGTTTTTGTTTGAGTTTGGGTTTGACTAATTTGTAAAAAAAAAAAAAAACTAATTAAGACATGCATGTTCGTCAACCTTAAACAATAATCTTTGTCAATTTTATTTTTCAGTCTTTATGATGGTTGATACTTGATCTATCTCTTACTGTTACATCCCCGGGCAACGCAGGGCTCTCCTGCTAGTTATGAATAAGAAGCAGGAGCAAAGAAGTCATTGAACTTTATGTTCATATTTGTGATTCATTTTGTTGTTTGCAATAATTTTGAATTAAAATTTAATTTCTCAATTTATAGTTGCATTTGTGCTGAGTTAAAAATTTGCTAAGTTCAATTTGTTCATCCATAGCAATGTATGTGACCATAATTTAGAATTCTTCATCTTCAAATGTGATGTTACTTTATTAGGAAGTGTGAACATTGATCAAGGGATGTGAAGCATAAAAAAGAGAACATCTGTTGAAAATGCAGCAAAGTTTGTCTTGCAGGTCAGGGACATCATTATTCACCATGAATTCAGGAAATTGATGAGGGCAATTACCGAGCTATTCAAGGTGACAGAATGCACTATCATGAGGACATCAGGTCATTATTAACCATGAATCCATTTATTGTAATATTAATATCTTTTAATGTGATATTTATCTGTTAAACAGAAATTATTTTTATTTAATAAAATCTAATCATAAGTAAGTGAAATTATGCTAAATACAACTAAATTGAAAGCCTCTTCCCCCTGGACATATCAGCAATGCTGAAAATTTTAGGGTAAGAATTTTACATGAGTAGAAGCTTTTTTTAACAAATTTTATCCTGAAAATCACTTGTGTGAATTACACAGGTGTGCAAATTACTTGGGTTTTAATGGTACATATGCTCTATCCCTGATATTGAGTACTTTAACCAATAAATATAGCATACCGTAAAACTATATTTTATCATACATATATATATATATATGTTTTTTTTCTATTTTGTTTATAAATAACCTACCATATATGATTGTCCCATCTTGTCATTTAATTACCCACCATACCTGTATACATGATGGTGTGTCAGACAGTTAAATGCCATACGTGGTACATGCTTAGGAAATCATGTATCTATCAATACATGACTGACAAGGCAGAAAATTTTTCCCACAGTAGGTTGCCATTTCTTTCTGTGGTAGACTGGCTGCCAACCAAGGTGAAAGAACCCAGTCTGTTCTGCTATTTCCCCCCATAGCTGGGGGGAGAAGAGATGGATTCATACCTTTCCCAAGGGTGTGTAAGTGAATCTAACAAATTTGACTAGGATTCGGACTCAGTTCTCTGAGATCGCACTCCAAAGCTGATATCCATTACACCACAATGCACATTTAATTTCACACCATATATATATATATATATATATATATATATATGGTGGGAAATTAAATATATATATATATATATATATATATATATATATATATATATATATATATATATATATATGTGTGTGTGTGTGTGTGTGTATATATATATATATATGTAATATATATATATGTAAATATATATATATATGTATGTATATATATATATGTATGTATGTATATATATATATATATATGTATATATATATGTATATATATATATATATATATATATATATATATATATATATATATATATATGTATATATATATGTATGTATATATCTATATATGTATGTATATATATATATGTATGTATATATATATATATATATATATATATATATATATATATATATATATACAGACATTTTAACTGTGTCTGTTTTTTCCATTTTGTCATTCAATTACCCATCATACATGATCATGTGTATTTTTTCCCCATTTTGTCATTACCTCCCATATATGAATGCCTGTATCTATCGACCAAGATAACAGTCAAACCTTAATTAAAAGAAAACATCTATACTGACTTATCATCAAAGAAGCAATGGGCAGCTGACATGACCCATTGGTCCGCAATAAGAGAAGCTCCACACCATGTTTCTCTGTAGACAGGAAGTATTCCAAATATTTTCTTAATCACAACCTTTGACTTGAGGGAGACAAGCCAAGGCCACTGTCCTTTTTTGATAGCTTCCCCTCCAATGAGGGGAAGAGCAATTGGAGGGTGATATGAAGTATGATTCTCTACTGAAAATAGAGAAATAAAAATAACAACAGAAAAAGTAAAATTAACCAGGTTTACATTTTAAGAAATAATTATATTATCGTTATACAAAATAAACTGTTGCAAGTATAAAATTTCTGGTCTTCTGTTTTCATATCATTTTTTCAATTTTATTTTCTATATTATATTATATTTTGTATATTTATATAAGTGTACACCAATTTCTCTACATCTAGGAACTGAAATTGGAATTGAAATGTAAATTTTTTTGTCTGTTATGTTTATGTCCCTTACACAGGCAACACCAAGTGGCAGTATTTTTGTCATGACAATTGGGGAAGCTGAAAAGAATAAATTCTTGTATGACCAGAGTATAACATGACGGTGCAATAATTGGAAAAAAATATTTAAAATGCCACCATTTTTGACATGAGTAAACTACTGTGTGTATATATTTTATATATATAACTTTATAAATCAGTAGGTCAATTAAGCTACCTTTAAAAATCACATGTAGAGCTTATATATTTTACTTATACTTATTTATATTTTTTTCATATGTTTATTGAGCAATTTTTAATACTACTGTTTCCTGCTCTGATTCAACTCTGACAATTAACCTATATATATATATATATATATATATATATATATATATATATATATATATATATAGAGAGAGAGAGAGAGAGATAGATAGATAGATAGATAGATAGATAATAATAAATTTGTAAGTAGTGAGGATAATCCAAAAAGTATTAAAAAGATAGATCCATGAAGAGAGCTCAATGTATTTATATACAGAGCAATATGATATACATTAAGAAGGAAAATGTGTATATGTGTATGTATTGTATATGTGTTTACTTGTGTTTTTGTATGGATGTGTATACTTGTATATGTATTTTAATTTTTTCATGTATATACCACACATATATATGATGTATTTTATAATTATGAAGATGATTGAGGTTTTTTTTATATATTATATTATTTATTTTTCACTCTTTTTTATATATATGATGATAATGATTGTTATATTGATGTAGATTAGATGATGAGAATATAAATTTTGATTTAATTTCAATATATTTAAATAAATTTAATAAAAACGGCAAAGAATTAAACCATACAATACTTAAGAAGAAGGGTATGATTTAGGAACATTAAGATTACCTCCTCAGTTATCCATCGAAACCGCAATCCACTGAAATAAGAAAAGAAGCCAGTCCCCACCGCGGGCCATTTAAAAGATAGTTCAGACAGCGGATTGGTTGTTACAAACATCCAATCGGATGTGCAGAATATGTGGTCTTTCTTCCTCTTATTCTTTAAAAAGGCCAGAGTAGCTGTCAGCGTTTAGTTGGAAGGGGGAATCAGAGGTTGATCTCCCCTGATTGGGTTGATTTGGTGATGGGGAGTATGATGTTTAGAGACCCGAAACTCCCTGATGAACCAAATCAAAAACATCATTGATGACCCCCTTGGGCACCTACTTAAAAGCGTATTTGCAAATTATTTCACTAGCTGTCACTCGTACTTCCCCCACCTATCCCTGCTCACTGTGCTGATATCTTGCTTCTCCTTTTTCTTTTCTCCAATCCTCTCTCTTCAATAATGTAAATCCCCAGGAAAATTTTTCTAGGTCAAGTAATTTAGATACAGTTTAACCCGGATATAAGAGAGTTGTCGGGACCGGAGAAGAAGTCTCTTATATCCGGGTTTCTCTTATATCCGGTTTTGGTCTATTTTGTTTACATTAACACAGGCTCTAATTTGGGACCAGAGAAGATCTCTCTTATATCCGGGTTTCTCCGGGTTACACTGTATATACTTCCTTTTTCTTGTGATTTAATTTTAAAATAATTTTTAATAAATTGTGTGGATAAACTTAAACCATTTTGTAATTTTGGTTTGCTGAAGCAGATAAAAAAAAATCTGTCAAATAAATTTATTACTGGGTTCTTCGATGATGTGTTAAGTTTTTTCCTTCTTGATATATATATATATATTTTAAGCTAAGTTTTTTATTTCTTGATATATATATATATATATATATATATATATATATGCATGCCTGGTGTCCTCAGACTGTAAGGTAGACTTTCTATCTCCTGAATAGTGTAGCATACTGCCTGAAGACATCAAAGGTAGTGAAACTACATTAGCCAAAATGTTAGTTTTACTTTGCTGATACCCAGTGTAGACGGACAGGTCCACAGACAAAACTCTGGAGTCAGGATGCTGAAGGTAACATCAGTCAACTAAGTGACAAACTTTTACTCATATTAATTATATATATATATATATATATATATATATATGCATATTAATAATAATAAATAATGACAATCCTTAAAAAATCCATTTTGGTTATAATTTATTTCATGAATATATTTATTTGAATATTCATCTCTTCAGACCAAAGGTTTTTTAGAAATGAAATCAATTTGTTCAGACAAAAGGAAAAGGGTGAGAAAAGAAGAAAGAAAAAGGAAAAGGAAATATTTTTATAATAAAAGAGGAAGAAAGAAAAATAAAAATTTCAATGTAAAATTTTTTTTATAATTATTTTTTTTTATTATTATTATTATATTGCTCTGTTACTTACATTGAGCTCTCTTTGGATTAATGTCCTTCTTGGGATTATCCCTACCAATTACCAATTGGTATTATATATATATATATATATATATACTCTTAATAGAAATCTTATAAGTATAAGAAACTATACTCGCTCGGAAAACCTTCGGTATATTGATTTGCAAATAAACAAGCCAACACCAAAGGGAAAAAAAGGTATAAAAAAAGAAAGAACCAAGAACATGTACGTTAACCAAAAATCATCTAGCATATGAATTCAAGGCCCAAAGGAAAAAAAAACAATGCGAGTATCCAAAACAACTAAATAAAGTGCTCAAAAGGATCGTCAGGGAATCCAGCCTTCCCTGACGATCCTCTTAGGTGAAACCTTGGTAGGTTTGTCTCTAGGTTTCTATATATATATATATATATATATATATATATATATATATATATATATATATATATATATATGCACACATACACACGGGCATATTTATATATGTATATATGGATAAATGTGTGGTATTATGGTTAGTGTCTCAAAAAGAGAAATCATTGAAGCAAGTTTGAATTCCATTTTCTCTCTCTCTCAAGCTATGTGTCAAATAACAGGCTTGGTTTTCTAGCTGTGTTTGGTAACCAGTTTAGGAGAAGGGCAACTCTGAATAAAAAATTCTTACTGATATCTGTATAGTATGTGCTGTGCCAAGGCTACATATGGTTCTGAATTCATAGTTGTTCTTCTCCTAAACTGGTGGCCAGCCATGGCTATAGAGTCTAATCTGCTAATAAATTATAACTGGAGGGAGAGGAGATATATTTATATCTTTCCCAAGGGTATTTCTGCTGAAAGTGAATGTACCAAACTAAGATGGAATTCAAACTTGGCACACTGATTTCTCATTCTGAGAGACTAACCATTATACCACATGTACATCCATGTGTGCATCTGTGTGTGTTGTTGACAACACAAATATAATAACATCATCTACATGCAAAAAAGGCTAAAAATAATGAAAGCCTTATTAATAAAAACAAAAAAAAACAACACTTAATAATATTAACTATGAACATGGACACAATATCTTGACCGTGTTTTGAAAAATGAAAACATTTTATAAAACATACATGCAACAACCTATTTCTTATTTAACAGTTAAGGTATTTAATCCTTGAAAATGGCTAAATGTGTAGCTGAAAGCACTTGGATAAAAAGAACATTCAGACAGTTTTTATATAATTCATCATCTGAAAAGAAAAAAATTATTAGATCGCATAAGAAATTGTATAAAAAACTAAATAAAAGCACCTTGTCTGTTGTATTCAATGAAATGTGCATATATATATATATATATATATATATATATATATATATATATATATATATATAGTTTTAATCATATTGTGAGTTTTAAAAGTACATTTGAATTTTAATGTTTTATTTCATACATTGTTACATCATGTTTCAAGTTTTCATTTTTATCATTAGATGTAGAAACAGTTTCATAATGTTGCTAATTCAAAGGGTTTTTGTTTTTTTTTAAATATATAAATATTGGTTCCAATGTTGAATGATATTTTGATTATTGTAGGTTGTTTGGTTTCTTTTATAATTATGGTTTTCATATCTGTAATAATTTTTTGGCAGTTAATGTTATATTTGTGTTTTTTTACAAGTATCTCTCAGATATCAGAGTAAGGTTTTTCTTTTTTATTATAGTGTTGGTGAGTCATATGAGTTTTTATAGAGCTACTTTTGAATAACTGACATGTTTGTTGATATGAGAGACTTGTAGTTGATAGAGATTATATATTTTTTATTAATGGTAGTAGTAGCAGTATTGGGGATCTAATTTCCCAATGAGCATGGATATTCATATATTACATTGGTTTGATTAAAATAGGATTTAAGGGGATTTGTATTATTGAGGGCAAAAAGATTAGGTTTTAATTTTTTTATAATGCATGATGATGATGATGATGGTGGTGGTGGTGGTGATGATGATGACGTCAAGCAAGCTTGGCATTCCATGACATGCAGCTTCTATCCATTCTTGTTGTTCATTGCATTTGGAAGCTCATCCAATCTGCATCCTGTATCTTCAATCATATGGTCACTGTATATCTTCTTTGGTCAACTTTGTGTTCTTTTTCCATAGAATGGTAATCCAGAGTAGAACATCTTCAGCTAGTTCTTATTTGCTATGCCAACAGTGACCAGCAAATCTTAGTCTTTGTTGGCATATTGATTTGCTGATGGGACGCATGTTGCATACAGCCCTTTCTTTGTTGGGTGATCTTTCCAGGATTTGTTTAATGCTGCTTGAAGCATTCGTGCGTAAGCACTATTTAACCTCTTTTCCAGTTTGACTGTTAATGTCCAGGTTAAGGAGCCATATACAAGGACAGACTCTACTGTAGCTCTGAAAAAGTTTCT